TATTCTACCTGCTTGAACTGTGCTATACTGTTCTAAACTGTTCTGTTCTGTTCCTTCAGTCAGAAAAATGACACGGTAAAACTTGTAGTAATTAGGGTTGGAAACATGTTTTTTGGCGTTATTAGTGCAAAATGGAGATTATTTCGGGTGGGAGAAGACTGCTCACGCAGGCATTTAACAACTACTGGCCGTGATGATTGGAGGGAAACGAAGGGTTTCGGGCTCTCGTAACCAGCGTCATTAAGGAACACAGGATTCCCGTCTCGTCCGAACGGTTCGGTCAGAAACTGACGCACGGTTTCTCGTGCTAATGAGTTCGGAATGAAGTGATTCGTTCAATCGGACTCAAATCCTCCAAGCATAAACTTTTATTGGAGGCGTAAAATGTGAACAATTTCTGTGATGAATTGCTTCTAGAGTTTAGAGTACGACCAACATTTGAAAGTAAGGTGTTCATTGGAAACACAGTTGCATCCTTCAGTTATTTCTTGAGGGAATTCCTCATAAACAGTCTTTGGCAGTTTTGAGAATTAACTGCGATAGCTTGCTCTTGATAAACTGTTAAGTAATGATAAGAATTAAAATAACATTAACAAGTGATAATAATTAAAATGATATTGGTTAACAATAATAATAATAATAATAGTAATAATAATAATAATAATAATAATAATAATAGTAATAGTAATAAATAATATAACAATGGTAATTTATCTCACTGCAGTCTTCACAAAGAACAGTTTAAGGTGCAGCCAAAATCTGTTGAAAACCGCCATATTCCGTTCCTTAGAATAGAACAGGAATAGAATAGTTTAACTGGAATAGAGATACCGCTAGTTATTATTCAACACGCGAATGCTGCGACCAATCACTATCAGTAGTAATAATAATATTAAAATATGTCAAATTCACATGACATGGTAGTCAAAAAATACCCTCATATTTAATGATAATAGATACTTCGAGCGACTTAATTCAAACATTTATTCATTAGTTGATCAATTTACTTATGAATATATGATAATAAAGGATAATTTGATAAAATTACAAAACTATCGATAAATTTAACATGACTGGATGGGATGAGATCAATCGCTTTCGTAACGCAAAATTACAAATTGGAAAAACAAAACGTGTCGAAATGAATAAGTTATTTATGAAAAAACAAAGAATAAATAGTCATATATGAGCATATATTGAACAAATCAACTGAAAATATTAGTGTTATCAATAACTTCTTGTTGGTAAAATATAAGCCTTGTAAGGGTGTAGCAATACATACGCATATATTAACCTATCATAATCGTAAACTTAAATAAAAACCTAAGCTCAAGCCTAAGAGTAAGCTTGGCTTTGCCTAAGTGAGTGACTGATGCATGTGTAGAGATGTAACGCTAGTGACTGTTAACTGGCAGAGGGTAATCGGTTCCTTCGAGCGATTAGATTGATATTTTCAGAGATATTCGATTGCAGAAGATTGCCATCGTTGATAAGTGTTGTTGTGTGTTGATAGATTTTACGTTTCGTAAAATAAGTCAAAAATTTCGAACGAATCATACTCAGCATAGTCATAATATCGTTTGTTTGCGCACCGTCACAAGTCTCTCCCGGCGGTGCTCCGTTTGTATGCGGATGGTGTGCATCGAACGCATCTTTCTGCAAATGCAACTCTCTCAATTTTTTCAAGTGAAACAAGTAGAATCGTACAAACAACAAATACAACCTTATTAAATACAATCATGAAATGTGCACGATTCAAAATGCTCGTAGTGGCAAGATCACTAAACACCGTTACGCTTTCTTCTTGAACACTCTACAAAAACCATTCATTATTTCGCATTTGTTGACCTGTTATAACAATCGAAATAACAGTAAAAAAAATAATTACAATAATAATAAACAATACCACCTCCATATGCCCCGACTTAGCAAATGTGCTCAAATCCACAACAAATATTATTAATGAGACATTCGAATAAAAATTTTTCCATTTTCTTCGACTCACTTCACTACCACCAATATCAGTTAAGCTGTAATAATAAAACAGCAATAATAATAATAACAATAACAATAATGATAAAAACAACAATGGATCAAAAAAACAAACGTAATGTAGGCATTTGCGGTGTTGTAATTTGCATAATCAGTTCCGACTGTGGTGGCATATGAATTCAAAATATCTTCACCACTTGGTATGTAATCCTTCGAAAGAATCCTCTCAATATTATCCAAAAAACTGAAACTTTTATCTTTTTACAATGATACATTAATGTATAAATGTACAAGATAATAAAACTAACAAGTCAGCATTTTGAGCCATAGAGACTCGTTGTGATTTCTTCAAATAATCTCGTAAAACCAAATCTTCAGAGATAATTTTTAGTTCACTGGCAATTTCACTTGCTATTGGTATAGTATTATACCAATGCCGAAAAACAATATCAACATTCACCTGAAATTAATTATTCAACTGTAATCAAAATCAATGATTCAAACAAATAACGGCAATAATAATAATAATAATAATAATAACAATAATAATAATAATAATGATAACAGTAATAATAATAATGATAATAATAACAATACTAATAAAAATAATACTTTAAAAACCAACTTTATGTGACGATAAATCAAAATTCATTTCTTCGCATACCAATCTGATACTATTAAATACTTCCCATAAATTGAAAAGCATTATACTTTTGTAGTATTTTCTTTCCAATTCTTTGCATTTACCGATATTCCTAGAAGTTCTCCAAAATAACAGAACTATAATGATAATGCAAACAATACTATTGTAACGATAATAACCACACATACGTGTGTGATGTTAATAATAATAATAACAATAATAATAATAATAGTAATAATAATAATTTTAATAATATTAATAAAAATAAAAAAATAATATGA